TGACCCTATAATTTATTTTAATACGCCAGTTATATATTTATACATTTATTTCCAATAATGATAGGTTTGGTCCTCCATATTGAAGATGTACAATCTTTCCATTGTACGGAAGAGGATTAGGGCCACAGAAAAAATAAAAACAGAATTCTGACTTTAATCTCAGAATAATTTTTTTCCTCAGAATTCTGAGGAGAAAAAAGTCAGAATTATGAAAAAGAAGAATTCTGAGATTAAATTCAGTTTTTTTTCTTCCAGGGGTTAGGGTTAGCTAGTCCTCTTCTGTATCATTAACATGAGGTGAATAAGATAAAATCTACTTACTTTGTGAAAGGATTATTTTCCAGTTTCTCTTCGGCTGGCACCATAACGCACCCAGCATTCAGACATTTTTATATACTTTAGATAGATTTTAATATTTTTGTTTATTAAAAAAAACTCGTTTTTATATCATCAGCTCTTCTTGTTCGCTATATTTGATTGTAGGCTATAGTAAAGCTAACACCCGATGTTGCAACTCTCAACGTCACGTGACCCAGGTGGGACTCCGAAACGTGAGGGGCGTGGTCGTAGTGCCCGCCCACCTGACGGAACCACAGTTCCGGGTTCGGTCGCGAGCTGCTGCTGCTGTCACCAGCCGGGCGGGACCGTCATGTCTCTTTTACTGGACAACCAGTTTAACGAACTCCCTCCTGACAAGTCTGTGGACACGAAGACGTTTCTGGACAACGTGTCGACCCTGCCGTCGTTTTTTGGTGAGTCCTTGAACGCAACACGCCAAGCCTGGTGATCAGAAGGAGAAACCGTTCGAACTTGGCAAACCGGTTCCTCCTCGCCATTCTTTTATAGTCAGGGACTTGACACTTCATCCGGCGAAAATAAATAATTAAAAAAAATGTTTTTGCGCGTCAGAAATGGGGTTTTGGGTCATGGGGGCGAATCTGAAGCAAACTCTTTGTTTACCCGCTGAACACATTGACCTCTTTGTGACTTCACTGTGGCTGTATTCACTGTCTTTTCTGCCTCTTGCTGGACCCATCCTGCCCTCTCTGAGCGATGGAGTCATTCATATTTGATGGCTGTGCTCTCAAATGTCTGTTCCTCCTGCAGACTGCCTGGGATCTAAAGTGTTTTCAATCATCAAATCAGACATTAATGGCAACATAACGGTAAGAAGCAGCTCTGTCCTGCAGCTCCAGGTGTATTTTATAACTCTTAACATTAAATCTCAAAACAAGCGTGCTCCTTTTTCACTTAATTTTTCTTTTCTTAGAAAATAAGAGCAGTTTACGTCAAGGACCCGGCGAAGTACGTGACCCTGAGGGACATTCTAGAGGCAGAGCGAGAAGCCCACGGAGCGGAATGGCCCAAGGTTGGAGCAACGTTGGCTCTGATGTGGCTGAAGAGGTGAGCTCGACCTCTGAACCCTCGTCAGGTCTCCGCAGGTCCAGGTTTAATGTCTGAACGCTCTCCTCCTCCGTTAGGGGTCTCCGTTTTATCCAGGTCATGCTGCAGAGCTTGGCTGATGGAGAGCGAGACGAGAACAACCCCAACCTGATCCGGGTCAACGTCACCAAAGCCTACGAGCAGGCGCTGAAGAGGTACCACGGCTGGATCGTTCAGAAGGTTTTCAATGTAAGAGGGACGCGTCAGAAGGTTCTCTTGAGCTGAAACACAACAGAAAGTGGGAGAAAACCCAGTTTTCTTCATTTATCAATAACTCTTTCACTTTGCAGCCATGCAGCATAGGGGAGGATTCTTATAAAACAGATTTATATCTGTCTTGTGAGCTCACAGTTGCAACCACAGCCCACTCATGAGCATTTCTCCGTTTCTGTGTTTCTAGGCGGCATTACTTGCGGCCCCCTACAGATCCAACTTCCTGAAGTCTCTGTCGAAGGGAGAGGAAGTGAAAGAGGAGGACTGTCTGGCCAACGTGCGTCACTTCCTGGTGAACTACACCGCCACCGTAGACGCCATCTACGAGATGTACGCAGATCTGCAGGCGGAGCTGGACTACACCGTTTGACGTCCCAGCTGACTTCAGCTTCAAACAGGGCTGTTTATATCTAGTAGTTTCTTTTCAGTGTGGTATTTATTACTTTGACGATGCCTCACCCAGATATGCTGCTCGTATATTTGGTCTTTGCTAAAAGCCTTAAATGTAAACCAATGGTGCTTTTATTGTTTTTAATTTTAACGAACGACTGGACAATAAAGATCCACGTCAGTCCTGCTTTATTTGACTATATAAGATGATGCTTTAGTCATGGAAGACAAACAAGACAAGAGGATTCTTGTTTATATCTTTTACTGCTTCCTGACCTTCACTGATAACCTGACTAGGAATGTTTCTCACCTTATTCTTTGTATTTCAGCCTTTTTACAACGCATTTTTGTTTAAATATGAAAACACCACAATGTGCCTTGTTATGGCTGAATTGTCTTTTTACTGCTTCAAAATAATTCAGTTGTTTCACTTTTTTTCGTGTTGTTTGTTAGTGTGTCTGAAATCATTTATACATAAAAAAGTTGGATGCTATTTATTAAAAAAAAAGTATATTTTCTGAATGAACACTTATAAATAAATAACCATTTGTGATCAATATGTTGTGTCCAAAGAATAAGTTTATAAATGTTAAGTGTAGAAATATTCCACTTGCACAGTAGCCTGCTGCAGGACCCTCCAGCGCTTTGTAAGAGCAGAAGACTGTTGGCACCCCTCTCCCCTCCCTTCAGGACTTATACAGCACCCGCCTCCCAAGGAAAGCCCTCTGCCTGGCGAGAGATGCTACCCAACCACTGCACAGCTTCTTCGGCCTGCTGCCATCAGGGAGGAGACTGCAGAGTCTCCAGGCCAGGACCAGTAGACTGAGGGACAGCTCCATAACTCACCCCACCCTCCCATGGAGATACCCCTCAAAACCTATTATTTTTGTCAATGTCCCACATTCATCCATATAGGTGTCCTTGCTGGATTATACATTTAGTGTCACTTTTTTGATTATTTACAATGTCATCAGATTGTGCCATTTTAACTGATTACTTGTTTATTGATGGAACTGGGAAGGAGAGTAACGCAATTTCAATTCTCTATGTTTTGCACAAATGAAGCATTGACCACAAAACTACTTGAACTTGAACTAAAATGGTGTTCAATGATTTTCCACCAGGGGGCAGCATTTACTCATTTTTGTTTCTGTGTTGGCTGATGCTTCTGCACACTGAAACATTTGAAATTTCATGGTTTGTTTTTATAAATGTCATTACAGCTAGAATTTATTTTTAATCTAAAGTTTTGCTTGTGCAGGTTGTTAAAAAAGTCTGAAAAGTACGGTTAGCAAAAACATTTTGATACCACAAAAAAACCCTTTTATGTCTTTTTTTTTGGGTGAAAGGAAAATCTGTATTCCACATGTACCCTAATCCTCTTCATGAGCCTCTCTCTTTTCCTCTGTCCACTTTTACTTATCTAAAGTGGTTCCCAGAGGTCCGGAGTGATTCTGTTTCCTTTCTCAGAGGAGTCCAGGATAATCACCTCTGAGCAAGAGGAACATGGCTGTAATCCTGGAGGTTTATCAGCCGTCCTGCCTGACAGGATGGAAAAACTTACAGCAGAGCTGGAACACAACAGAGTGAAGACGGTAACTCGTTTACAAAGATGGCCTCACTGAGTAAAATCACTTAACTTAAAAAAAATTATCTGGAATGAGGTCAGCAGTTGGTGTTGCAGAACCAGCACTGTGTTTACCTTCTATTTTTGCTTTATAAAGTCTCTGTTTTGCTTCCATAATGACCTGAGTTCCATCACTGCTGATGTCACTTTAAATTTAAGACAAACAGCAAATCAAGAACCACAGCTGGACTAGTTTATCAGTGAAGTAACAGGTGGTTAATTTTTTTAACAGCAAAAACAAACAATCCTGTGCATTTTTCATATTGCAACATTATTAAGAGAACTGGCAAAGTTTCATTTGCATAAGTATTTCTAAAGGATTTAAAGTCTCCTGCCTCGAGCACCGGTAATTCATCTGTTTGAACATAATTCACAATAACGTTAATGCTTTCAGCTGCATCATTTGTAAAAGTTTACCTAATGTGTTTCAGGCAGAAAATAACATAGTTAGCTTAAATCTTACAGTAACAAAATTTAATCTAATGGATTTTTTCCTGCAAAAACGCATTAACTGCTTAATGATCGCTGAAACATGTCGAAAAAAACTAAATTGAACTGTTAAAACCATTAGAAAAGTAACAAACTAAAATGAAAATCAACAGTGGCTAAAAGATACCATGGCTAAAAGCTAAACTGAGACAAATCAAAGGCTAAAATTACTATAACTTTAGCTTAAGGCTAAAGCCATCAAAACAGTAGCCAAAAGCTAAAATAATCAAAATCGTAGCTAAAAGCTAAACTGAGTAACAATGTAGCTGAAAGCTAAATACTACAAAAGTAGCTAAAATCTGAAATTGACAAACTGTAGTTAAAAACTGAAATGTAAAAACAGCAGAAAACTTAAATGATCAAAATTGAAGCTATGTTACAATTTGCAAGACAGTAGCTAAATGTTAAAAATAATCTCTAAAAAAATCTAGAAAACACTAGCTGAGTGTTCATTTGAGCAAAAGCAAAGCTAAAATCTAAATTAAACAGTAGCAAAAACCTTTAATTATTACAGTAGCTAAATGCTAAATGGAGGAAATTTTTGGAGCAATTCGACAGAACTCAATTGAATGAAATTTTGTAAGAAGAAACAGTTCAAAACAGGTAAACGTTCAAAATATTCAAAGTCAACACACACTAGTCCCACTTTGGTCAAACATTTTGATGCATCAGATCAGTGTGTAAAATAGCACAAAGTACGTGGAAGTTTATGACAGCAAAAAACAGGAAACCAAAATGTGAAACCTGAATCTGCATTCACACAAAGAGGGGAAAAAATAGGTTCAAACGTTACCACAATAAAATAAATCTGATCTGTTTTCCACATTAATAAAGCTGTATGTCTGTCAGAGTAAACCTAAATGTGTGCACTGCAGGAAAAGTCTGCTGGATTTAGAGAATTTTATTGACTTGATAATCCTTATGGAGACAGAAAAAAAGGGGATGAAGGATCATAGTCACACATTGCAAAAAGTAGTTTTTCATCAACATCATTTATAGAGAGGACTCACAGGTTCATGTGTAATAATTGCACTTTATATTAATTATAGAGAGTTTGCCATGAAGTCACCAACATAAATAAATAGTTTTACAGAACTCCTCAGTCATACATCTCAGATCATTCCAGATGATATAGCCCTACAGTAAAATGATTCGAGCGGCCATCGATCGTTTTGTTAAACAACCTGAAGGTGAATAAACTTATTTCATTCAAAAGCAAAAAAAACAAATCATACGACTTTTCACTTTTAAAAATGGTAAAATCACAACCAAAGAGCGCATCTCTCTTGACCTGGATGCAACCGTCCAAATATGCTGAGCTCAGCATGATGACGACAAAAATACTTTTTAAGATGTCGAATGAGAACATTTCACCTAGAACTGAACTTGAGAGAAATAATTACATCTTTATTCAGCGGCTGTGAGACTTCAGCATGTCTGTTATGGCCGGAGTTGATGAGCAAATAAACAACATAAATAAAGCCATTTGCACAAGAAATCTTTTCTGAATCCAGTTGTCGTTTTTGTTTGGTGCCCCTGATCATTTCAGCTCCGCTTGTTCCCAGTTTTGTAAAAGGCCTACAAAAATCACCTGCAGTTAAAAAAAATGCAAGTGTGGTCAAGTGCTCAGCTTCAGTGTTAAATCAACCACAGCAGTCATTAAAAGATGCAAAAAAAGAGTCAGTAGCATACACCTGTATTGAGTTCTGATTATCCATCCTTCTTTTTCCCAGGCAGAAAAACACAAAAGCCTTCTACAAGAACATGCACAAATCAAGGAGGCATGTTTACATTTTTTGTTGTGTGTTAATTAAAAAACCTGTCTTGTATATGTCACAGCGTAGCAGCACCTATCTGTAGACAGGCAGCTGGATGTGCTGTTGGTGCTCCAGCAGCTGAGGCATCCCTGCGGCGTCGTACCCGCGGCCCAGCATGCTCTCCTTGATGCAGGGCGGGTGGATCTCACTGATGAGGCACTCCAGAGACTGCAGGCTGCTGCTGAGCGCCGCGGCGTGGCACAGGCTGAACCCGGGCAGCCCGCAGCACAGGTTTGGGTCTGTGGCGTAGGCCTGGGGGTGAGGGTGAGGAGGAAGGGGCGGGTGAGGGCGGAGCGGCGGCTGGCTCGGGTGGAGGTGCGGGTGGGAGAGCCTCGCGTCGCCGGGCCGGGCCGCGCACGGGCCCAACACCTGAGAGGCGTAACCGTCGCTGCCGGGGTCGTCCCAAAGCGGAGCGAAGAGCTGCCCGAGCGGCCGCTCCCCCTGCACGCCAACCCGGTCCGGTCCGGCCCCCATGCTCCCCGAGTGCTGCCTGTATGGCAGCTGAGACGGGCACGGCAGAGGAAGGCCAGTGTCAGGAGACTGGCCCACACCGTACATCCTCACTGCTTCCTGCTGATAGGGCTGCTGCTGCGTCTGAGCCTCGTGCTGCCACACCGAGTAGTCTCCTCGCTCCAAGTATCTGGCTGTGGCTGTGTCCGCACCCTGCGTGGGCAGAACCGCCCCCGCAAATGCCAAACCGCTCTGAGGCGGCACTCCGAACACAAAGTCGGGGTCTGCGTGCGCCACCGCGGCCACAGCCTGCAGCGAGGGGCTGGCTCGAGCTCCTCCCCCCGGCTGCAGGGCCCGGCTGTGGGGCACTCTGCTCATCTGCCTCATCAGGCTGTGAACCTCTGCCAGCTCGTTTGAGGGAGCCAGGCTCTGATCTCCAGAGGCCATTCCTGCAGCAGAACAAAGTGTTTCAATGGGTACGTCTGGGGGCTTACAGGAGCTTACGTGATAGGGCTCGTGCCCGTGTCGGACCTTGTAGCCATTGTTCGGAGGATTATTATACGACGCCACAGAGGACTGGGAGTTTGCATGTTTAGTCCTCCTGCCCTCCGGGGTTTTCACCACACCTTTGACCACCACAGAGGCTTTGACGATGGCCAGCAAGCCCTGGTAGCCTCCTGAGTGTGGGTGGGAGTAGGGGCTGTAGCGCTGGCCCGTGGTGTCCAAGCCGTTCACGGTTCTGCTGAGCTGTTTGTGCTGCGGCACCCGAATATCGGACGGGAAGATTTTGATGGACAACGGGCTGTTGGCGGTTTTCTGGGCGAAAGCGTCCAGCTCTGCAGGAGACGGATACCGAGAAACCATGGAGCTCGAATCTGCTGGGAGGAAAACAGACAGAGAAGGTGATTAGAACAGACTTGGCCCACAGAAATCCTGTTCTGTTATTTTTTTTTTTGCCCCCTCGCTTTCCCACATCTGTTGTAGAGGATAATAGGAGACATCAATCAGAGTTAAATACCTTTAAGGAAAAAGCCTTTGGCACTGTTCGATTTGAAGTTTAGGAGATAAATTCAGGCTTAGTTTGCCCCAAGATGAAACAGAAAATGAAAAAAGAAAAAAAATTGAACAGACTTTCATGCACTAATGGTTTCAAACCAATTTCATTTACTCATATTTTTAACTTTTGTAGCCTTTCCAAAAGCTCAAATCTGCTTCGACACAGTATCAGACATCACCTCTGCTTCATTTTTATTGCATGCCATTTAAACCAAACCGAGCTGTGATGTTTCATATTTGAATTTTTCAGCCTGTCCTGTTTCAAGTCACATTCTTTGTGCATAGTCCAGCACTTTGGTTGTGCTTATACAGAAATCTGATTTTCTCTGTCCCAAAATAGTAAAGTGAGACACAAGTTCATGTTTGAACGTGTTTCAATTTTACAAAAGAACTGGACAGACGGGCCTCTAGTAGTAGAAAACATAATCAGTTTGTCTAAATGTTGACATTTATAATCATTTATGTTTCTGAATGACATTTTGTGCTGCTTATAAACCTAATGAACTGGGACTAAATCAAAAGTTATTTTAAAAAAGATAATAATGTACACCATTGATTGAAATCTGTGTAGAAAATCAGAAATGGAAAAGCAAGATTGATTTTAAACACTTAATTAGACTAAAAACAAAACAAAACAAAAGAAAAACAAAGGTCCCTCATTTAGAATATAATAATTCACCTACTGGAAATGAGTGCCGCCTTTCAAAATGACATTTTAAGGAATTCCTAATAGCAAAGAAAAGCCACTAAAATTAGCCTAGATCGCACCGTGACTCAGTGGAGATCTCAGCATGCAAAAGAACAAGGCTCTAATCTGCAATAAAGGGCAAAAAAGAGAAAGAAAAAAACAACACTTCATTTCATTTTCCATAACAAAACCAATTCCAGCTACGCGGGGTAGAGCTTGCTCATTGTTCCCATTCGAAATTGATTTGGGAGTTCATTTCATTTCAGGCCTACAGTGAGCCTCCTGACTGCGAAAATGACTCAATCTTCAAGATCCACCTCATGAAAGAAAGAAATTGGGTGTTTAAAATGGAGGAAGGAGGTAAAAAGGCAGAGTGCTCAATCCACCCAACAACCTCCCAGCGGAGCAGAAGGAACAAGCGCCGTGGTGCCAGGAGCGTGAACCAACTCTGCGGAGAAATCCAACAAAAGCAGAAAAAAAAAAACAGGGCTTATGTTTCATTGTCGGACTCCTATAGAAAACAATGACATCTGGGATGTTGACGAGCTGTTTGTACTGTACACAGCATCAAGATGTGAGCTCCATTTTCCCATAATCCTTCATGTGAAGAGACAAAAAACAAAACAAAAAAAAAGATGCCAGCTGTAATAATAACTTCTGGCTTTTGGATAAAAATCCATTATTCATGAGCATAAAAGGGAACAGAAAGAGGATCAGAACCACCTAAAGGAGCTTAGATGGCCATAAGGAATGACATTTTTAAAAATGTATTAACTCTTTGCATCACTGCACCCCAGGAGTGATCCAATGTTTTTTAGCCAATCATTTAGCAAAACAAATCGAAACGCGGCAATTTAGCCATTTTCTTTTTTAACTAAAATGTAAGTGCTGGGCCCCGCGTGGTGCGCCGGGGCATGCTGCTGCGCCACACTTCAAACACTTTACATGCTAACACGTCTTCACGGGACGTCTGATATTGTTAGTCCACAGATTACAGCCCCTGTCAGAGCTATGGAGATACAACACAGCTGCACTTCCCACTGTGGCTGCCTTAATGTGGCACCATGGAAACCTCATTAGCAAATAGGCACTCTGGATTCACATTTATCATCTGAGCACCACCACTGTGTGACAAATGCAGGGGAAAAAAAAGGAAGGGGGGATTAGTTCAGGTTATACTGACAGAGACCTAACTGCTGGTTAATACGAAGTCTCATCCGAGATCAGCTTTCAATTGCTTTCACTTACAGCCAGGGGAAAAGTATATCCATCAGCAACGTTTAATGACAACAAACTGCAACCTCAGTGTGATAAACTGAGCTCCACAGAAGACGGTTACATGCTTTCCCAAAAAAAGTGCCCGAATTGTAATGAAACCACATTTTCTTCTCAGCACAGCCAAGTTCAGCACTCATTAATTACAATCTATGGTGATAGATCTGGTTTTCCTCTGAAGTAGACAAATAGCTGCAATCTCATCTGAATACTCAACAAAAGGCTTTAAATATAAGAATATAATAAAGCTCTAAATATAGTTTCTTTATAGCTCTAAATAGTTTGATTGATTGTCACTATTTTAAAACAAAAAATAAGTAAACTTATAAAATGGAAGAACAAAGTTTTAATCTGGACTCTAATCAAATATTTTAGATCTCTGGACATTTTACTGCACGAACTCTAAAACAGCAGTTCTATGAACCAATATGAAATAGTTAAAGCTGAAATTGTTTTAAAAGGTGGCAGCATTTTACTTTAGTTTCAACTTCACTCAACCTAACCATCACCTCAACAATCCAGTCAGAACTAGAAAATTAGCTTTTTTCTGCAATAATGCAGCATGAATGCGTAATGCTGGAAGATTTTGGCAGAAAAAAAAAGAAGTACAAAACTTTTTCAAATTGCTGAAAAATATCCAAAGAGACTAAAATTAGCAGAGAAGTAGCTAAAAAGTAGCCCGAAAGCTATATTTAGCACAAAGAAGCAGAAAAGCATATTTGCTGGATGAAGCAGTGAAATGATCACAAAAAGGTCAAGTTAGCTGAAAAAAGCTCAAATTAGCTTAACACAGCTTTAAAAAAGTAGCACAAATGGCAGAAAACAACTGAAAGAAACATAAAACGCTTAAATTAGCAGAAAGAAGCTGATAGAAGAATGAGAAATTTAAGTTAGCAGAATTGCTGAAAAGAGCAGAAAGCTAGCTGAAAAAACAGATAAAAGCTAAAATTAACAAACAAACTGAAGGAGACGAAAATAAGCACAAAGTAAAACTTACAGTAAAGATTTATGAACATTTTTGAAGGATTTTAAGGATGTTGAAAACAGCGCCATTTATTTTCAATGAGGGGAAAAAAATGTCCTGAAAGGAAATATCTCATAAAGCATAAATAGCTGAAATACCAAAAGTCATAGCCAGAATATCCCGAAGGAAATGAAAGTTTTGATTTATGAATTGTTGATATATCACAAAAAATTGTGCCAAAAAATGAAGGGAAGAAAAATGGACCATCTCTGTTACACTATTTCTCACAGCTGAGGTTGCTCAAAGAGACATCTATAACAGGTAAGATATTACTGTTTCACAGAACCCCTCTGCAAAAATAAAAAGCTAAAAAAAATGAAATCACATGAACAGGTCTCATCCTAATCAGAGAATTCAACTCTGTGCAATAAAATAAAATAGCTTTTATGCACCAGCCAGGCACTATTATAAAACCTTTTAAATCCACATAACTCCTTTTTATTGGTGGTGCACTCACCAATGAAGCAGAGAGAGCGTTTACACCATCACAAGGTGTTCTGTGTGTAAAAACTGAAACTAAAGGCTCATTAGATAAGAGCTTCCTCAGGCCTTCATTCTGCTCTTAGCTGAGAAAACACGACAAACTCATTTATTCGGGTTTAAATGTGCATTTTGTTGAGAAGGAAAGAAGTGTGTCAATCATTTTGCAACGTAACGACACAAACTGAGGGATGCAAAAATGGGTTTCAGGACTGCCTAGCTTAAGATATAAGATAAGACACTATCAAATTAGATAAAATAAAACAGATACTCTGCAGTAATATAACAATAACGGAACCACAACAGGACATCTTGTCTTCAGTGTTTCTTTCAGAGACGCTGTGTTTCCACAACAAAAACTCTGTGCTGTAAAATAAAGATAAGAAATGAAAACAAATTTGAGGCTGTTCACATGACAACAGGGGGAAATGGCAGCTGTGTGCTGTGAGGTGAGGAATGGCAGGAAGATAATTAGCGGTCTGACCTTAAGCACTTAATCACCCTGAACCTGCAGCCTGCACGCCGTATCTCTTCCTCCACTCCGACAGCGAGCAGAAAGGAGCACAGAAAATAAAAGCAACCTCCTTTTTTTTTCTTTTTTTTTTGCGAGCGGCCCAGGCCAAAGTCGTCACACAGGGCTTAAATATTCTTTGACCTTTTAGCATTTTCCCCCGTGGCGCTGATAGAAGGCAGCCGCACAGCTGAAAACCACGATTGTACTTTTTTATTGCTGCTAACCAAAACGAGCAGGACAGAGCTGAAGCGAGACGCAGAGTGAATCCTGATGCATTTATTGATCTCAGCCTTTAGTTTTTGCTCGGTTTAAAAGACGTTCAGTACAATCAAAAGGTTAACCAGCTGTAATTGCAACAAGCAGAAACGACACTTTTAGAGGATACAACTAACTAATCCCAATTTCCTCCTGGTATTCAGGGGACAGGCTTGGATAGAAAGGCTTTGAGCTGTAGAGGTCCATTATAAACCCTCAATCAACAGGGTTATGTAAATATATAGCCTAATGTGTGCCTATCTGAAATAAGAAACTTTAAATGTTAATTTATAATATACAAAAGCAATTAAGTATTTTAATTAAAGTCCCAGTATTCATTAAAGGAATGTGTACTGCCTGCTGTCATTATGCAGAGTTTTAAATTAAGTTTCTTATGTTGAAAAATGATGGAGTTTTAGCATTTATGCTCAGATCAGAAAAATAATGACATTATACGCAATTAAATGCAGTATCACAAAGCTTTATTTAAAGGAGACATGTCCTTCTTCATTTTTACATTTAAATAATCCCTTTGGGGTCAATATAAAAGTGGAACTGCAATGCTTTGGTCTGATTTTCTCCTTTT